TGTGTGTAGTGTGATATTGTGGACACTTAAATGGAGAAACTTCTGGGGTTAAAGCATTTTTTAAAAAGCCAAAAATGCAAAAAAGTAATTCCAGACGACATTCATGCATATTTCAATTGAAACGATGTACCTTTCCCCTTTGTTGCTTAACAAAATATTCGTGGCGAAGGACACTCTGGAGACCTTGACTATGTTTCTGACACATAAGGACATACAAATGAAAAAAAAATTACAATTTTCTGCTTGAATTGAAAGGAAGATGTTGCGATTTTTTACTTACTTTGTAAAGTTCATGAAGGGAAATAAAAGAAAATTATTTTTAATAAAATATTTACTATAGGATTTATTTTTTATTTCAATGCAAATGAACAAACGCTAAGACAAAAATAAGAAAAAACTAAAAAATAAGATTGCATAGTAGATATATATATATAAATGTATTAAATTTAATATTAACTACTATGTATGTGTGGACAAACGATTCACATGGTTTAAACATGTTCAACTGAAAAGAATTAGCTGTGCCAAAATTCTTCATCACCTCCAACCGCTATTTAGAAATGAAAATCGCAATGCTAAGAACAGGAAGCTGATATATAACCAAATAATTCGTCCGTCACTTCTATATGGATGTGTAGCGTTTAGCAAAGCTTCAAACACTACTATGTTATTCGCCAGCTAGAAATTGCACAAAGCCAGGCTCTGAGAAGACTTTTCAAGATACCATGTTACATAAGGGCGAATAACATCCTCAGAGACCTCAACATTGATCCGATCAAAAAATACATAACGGATAGAGCCCTGAAATTAATTGCGAAAACTGATAGACTTACTAACACCACGTTCTCGAATCTCAGAATGGTTACAGGCTCTTCACGGAGGTATGCAGATATAAGGCCAATAACTGCTTAGTCTGATAAAGTGGTAAACATTAATCCAGTCAAAGCGTAAAGAGGGGTTTTGAAGATACCTCGCAGTTAATAAAGAGTAAAAGTGCTCAAGTGCACTGGCTCAAATAGCTTCAACATAAACTATGTAAAAGTTAGAAAAGTTATAGAAATAGAAATGAAAAGAGAATAACAAAAATAATAGTTAATTCTTTTAAATTTGGTTGACCATACAACGCTATTTCGAGTATTGTCAACTACTCCTCATCAGTGGTCTTAGGAAATAATCGAATTTAATTAGTTTATACTGCGTATAAAATTTGTTTAGACTGCAAGTGCCAGGTTTAGAACTCGTACCCATCAAATTAGAAGCGATGATTAATCGTGTTTTTTCACAAGTAGCCAAGGCTGCACAAACTTTCAATGCTCAAGTTCCAGGTTTTATTGTCGCTTATTTTTTTATTTAATTAGTGACAACAACCAAAGCACTTGCCGTGCTTTAAATTAGAACGAGCTTATAAACTACAGCTTTATTTGGAAACACAAGTTTCACGAATTGAAAGTTAATTCTTGGGGTTGCCAATTTTTATTTCAAAACTATTCTTTTTTTGTATAAATTTAGTTTTGCATAAAAATTGAATTTACAGTAAATTTAAAAGTTAATTATATTTGAATTAAATTAAGACTAATTTAGAGATACAGCAGCGAAATTTTTAATACAATATAAACTAGTAATTAAGGATCGGCTGACAACACTCTATCATAGTTGCTATATTTTTGTATGTACAAAGATACATACTTACATTAAAAGTACGACAAGCACCATGTATATATATATTAATAGGAAGATATCATAGCATGATATCAGTATGTCTTTGGACACTAAAACAGTTCAATATTAAAGGCATATTTGATAATTAATATTTGATTAAGTTTATTAGTAAATACTTTTACATTTTAATCGGGATGCCTATAGTTATATTTTTATAATTGATTGTATAAAGGTTTAATTTATTGAGTTGTATTTTAGGTTTTTTCGTGGTTTTATTAATGCCTTCCTCGATTGGTAAATCTGGATTAACATTTTCAATCAAGATTCACTTCTAGTAAAATTATTATTTTCAATTGGTTAATCTCGAGTTAAGTGTATAATACTCCAGATTAATTTATAACACTCTACATACTTTGTCAGAGTAGTAAGATTACTCTGAATAAACAGCTGTTTTATATGATATGACAAATAAAGTGTGATTTGATGCGATATATGTATTTATGAAATATAGAAACGTACATTAACACTGCTACAAAAATGTTTCATTGGGAAACAAAATACAATAGATCGAGAGTAAATCTAAATTGAATTCATATTTATCAAACGAAAACGCCATGACAGTATGGTAAATAATTAATTATGATATTGTTACCTAGCGTTTCAGGAACAAAATAATATCAAAAAGAATTCTCATGAAATTGATAAAAATTGTTAACAAATTACTAAATATAATAATAATTAATATTTGGAATATATAAAGACTATTATAGGACAATATGGGCTTTTCAAATTCTTTAACATATCTTAACTATTTATTAACAATTTAAAAAACCACAAAATCGTTTTCGTAAATTTCAATTTAGAAAGATTCAAAAAAAAATGAAAATATATCAAATTAATAAACAATCATTTTTTCATCATCCTCATCTCATCCTTTTTTATAATAAATTTCACCGTTTTAGTCGTCTTGGTTGTCCATACGAGGTTATGATATTGACAGCTTCTGTGTTTAATGTTCCTAATGTACCATGGCGCTTTTAAAATGTTCCGTAGAACCTTGTTCTGAAAACGTTGAATTATTTCGACGTTACTTTGGCTAGCGCTCCCACATAGTTCAGTGCCATACGACATTTGGTATCTGAAATAGGAAACAATTGTATTTTTTTATTTGTAAAATCAACATGAACAGATTTAAAAGAATTCAGTTTGATACTCCATTTTTTTGTCCAATTGTCTAACGAATCTGTAGCTGTTTGTAATCTTGCTATTGATTCTTCAACGGAGTCAGCAACTTGCAGTAGCATCTGCAAATGTTGCAATTTAACTTTCAGGTGTGGTTGGCAAGTCCATAGTGTAAAGCAGGTATAGTAGTGGACCGAAGTGATTAAAATATGAATAAAATTATTAGAATTTTAAATACAGTAACCTACAGGAATTATGGAAAATAAAACATTAATGTGAATTCTACTATTAATTAGGTATATCTACATACCATCATTATTAGGTTTAGACTCATAGCACCCCAAACAATAATTAATATTTTTTATATTTTTAAATTTTTTATATATTTTATTTTTTTTTATCATTGCTTCAGTTTGATTATAGTCTGACCGCCCCAACATTACTACTCCAGTACAGCTTCAAGGTTCAAGGTTTTTCGTTACTGTTTCTTACTCATTCTTTTAAAAAAATAAAAGTATTTTATTTTAAAATCAAGCTAATTGTATAATTCAAATATTAATAATAAAATTATAATCTTTTTTTCTATAGTTTTTAGTATTAACTATAAAAAAAATGAACATAAAAATTGCTATTTTCGTAAAAAGAAAAGCGAGATTTAAAATAAATAAACTTTCCAATCTTTATAGATTGCATCATGCCATGTCCTTGCATGTAAAAATCTAAAATAATACTTACGATTGAGTTTTCATTAGAAAAGTTACGAAGCCTACGTCCGCAAGTTATCCTTGTACTTGGTTATGATTTCGGAATAGGAGCACTACAAACTGAGTCCTCTAAATAAGTATTTTTATCCGCCCATGCGCAGTGTTTGTCAGCGATTCTCTTCTGTGCTCAATTTATTTTTCGGTATCAATTTCTGTAACTCTCCGGTTTTAATATTTTTTATCTTTACTCAAAATTCGCTTTAGAGTACCCCCACCAGCTTATTCACCTGTTAACGGAAAGTCCTTGAATGTTGAAAAGAACGCTTCTTCGCAAGATGTCAGTTGCAATGACTACAGACTCGTTAAATTACAAGAAAGTAGTGGATTTTCTATCTTTGAACTCTGATATTTTATAAAATGTAAAAATCTTAAAAACATTTTAAAAATCATTATGAGATTAGTCCTCGTCTTAAAAGGCATAAATAATATTGAATATTACTTGCAAGCGAAAAAAATCATTGACTTTTGTACTAAATAATATGGAATTTAGTATATAATTAGAAAAAATTGAATTGAATATAAAATTCTGTTTAAAAAGTTATAAATAATTCCATAGCGTATATATGGATGCAAACTGTAGATTCTGCGAAGAGAATGAAGAATCAGCCACAAATGGTCTGTTAGAATGCACTACGCTAATGCACACACGGAATAGACTCCTCAGAATGGATATCCTTACGGAATTACTTAACTACTCTGTAAAGTGAACTCTATACTACTTCTTATTAAGGTAACAGGGCTCAGAGACTTAGTCTAAGCCCAAAAGGGGACACAATAGACACGTTGGTCGGAGTCTCACATTCACTCTTGATAATAAAACAAAAATAGTTTATTAAATAAATATAATCCAGTATAGTCCAGTATGTTAGTGCTTGACTCAATTCTTTACAAATTTTTTGCATACTGATTGGTATTATCTTGAACGTCTAGAACGATATAAAAACGATATATATTGTCTTGAACTTCAATTAGTAGTTATAATAGCCGCGATGGGCCTGAAAGGGCTTTCTTGAAGTTGTAATTATAAATTCAATGAAAATTAAAACAGTATTTAAAAAATATCACCTTAGTTGTGTGAAAAATTCAATTAACACGTGGAAGCGAACATTATTGTAGGACATCCCACAACATCAACAAGACAATGACAATATCTGAAAACTGAATTTTCGTTGTAGCCTAAAGCATTGTAGATACTTTCGAAGTGTGAGTAAGTCATGCCTACCTCTTGTGATTCACAATTTTCTAAAGTAATCAAGTACAAATAATTCTTAATGTATATAGTAATATATATAAATTTAATTATTTCCATATATTAATCAAAGTTGCTTTGGCATTTTAAATTTCTTGAAAGTAATTATTTCATAATATTAAAAATATGAAATATAGTACATATATTTGGTGAACGTTTAGAGTTGCGCTTCTTAGAAAATAATTCTTTAATCGAATCTAGAAATTACGATCTAGAGTTTTAATAAATATTAAAAATAAAATTTATATATTTTTGTCTTCAATTTATCGCTAAATTAAAACTAGAAGAAAATGAGTGATAAGGGTCAGGATAAACCCAAATCTGGAAAGAAGATAACAAAGGAAATGAAGTCAAATGTCAGTGAGAGGTAATTATGGTTTACGATTACTAAAAATTATAACCATATCTCAAGTATTTCATTCAAATTGTAGTTTACCATCTGCACACCCGCCTGCCATTGAAAACAGTGAAAAATCTTTAAATAATGCAGAGGGAATGGAGCCAACAACTGAAGGTCTAACCAGCTCATGGGATACTCCAGCTCAACATAATGCAAAGGACGTGCATACTGACAAAGATGACATGATTGAAGAAAACGAGGAAAATATTACTATACCAATAGATGACTCTGAAATAATAGCAGATTTAAACCGACTTTGTATTGGTTTGCAAGCTTATGACAATGATGAAGGTCAGGTGACTTCTTCGCCAATACAGGATTGCTTAGCCGAAATGGAAAAGGATGTGAAGGAAATGAAAAGTGATTTGGACAAAAATTATGAAAAGTTGATGTCTGCTGCACAGAGACTAGAGTCTATTGATTTTCAGAGTATACAACAACGTTTTCTTGATAATATAAATATCACTGAACCTTTATCGAAACCGTCCGTTGATGAATTGAAAAATCTTTTTGAACTCAGCTACGTGAATAACACTTTGAGTGGTTTAATTGATCAGGTAACGAAGGAAGAGTCCTACCAAAAAAAGTTTGATATCGATATTCCAGGAATACCTGAACTAGCCGACGTATGCAAAACTTTGAATGAAAGTTTCAGTATGATTAAAGATCAGCATAGGAAGTGTGATGAAATAAAATTTGAATTGCACGAGGCTACTGAAGATACTAGGGCGCGCATTGAGGAAATCAAGAAGATACTAAAAACTGAAGCACCAAAATAATCCTTATATTTTAGCATTTAATGTAGGAAATTCTGCGTTACAAATAAAATGTTTTTAATTTAAATAAAAAGTTACATATGTTACATAAGTTTATATATTAACTTATTTACTTTATTTGTAGTGTGGGGCTCAGTTTTGCAGATTTTGGTTCTTTTAGTTTTAAAATAAGAAATTGTGCTTTTTTAAGAGATTTCTAGGTTAATAGGTTAGTCATTGAAAATATTACACAACCTGCACAAAAGTCATGTCTATAGTTGTAGCAACAATACTAGGCTATCAAATATAATCCAGAAATTTAGTTTTGCGCTTTAACAAAAAATAGAAAGAAATAAAACCTGTAAAGAATCAGAGTGCTACATTATGTGAGCAGAAGAGAAACTAAGAAATACCATGAGCAAAATAATGGAAAATTTAATAGTTAATATACGCACAAATATCAACAATTAGTGGACTGCAACGAAAGACAGTAGTAGATAGAGAAAACTCTTTGAGACCGTGAAGCCTCTACACGAGCTAGTAATTATGACCACTGATCTGAACAAATAAAATAGTTGGGGCACGTGCTACGTATGGCTGATAACGCACCGGCAAAAGAGATATAGAGATGGGATTCTGAAGAAAAAATAGGCTAAGAAGAAGGTGGATGAAGAAGCGCGATGAATGTTAGAAATTATACTAGAATGGCATAGGAGATAATCTTTACGAGACGGACGATGCATTTTGCTTTGATTGTTACGCTTTAAATAGTAATATTGAATATTGATCCTTTTTTATTGATGTAGTATCGAAATCGATATAAATTGTAAAGGAGAACCTAGCTGACTACTTTTTGCTTTCGTTTTTCATAATTTATTTTACTCATTGTTATATTTCAAGCAATATAAGATATTATATAAATAATAATAGAACTTGAATAAAAAATTTTAAGTGCTTAAATAATAAACAGATAGGTATTCCATACGATTGCAATTACCGCAGAACTGAATGGATAATTGCTTTATATCACTTGAAAAAAATAAATAAACTTAATTCTTTTCATTAAGCATATTTCCTTTATTAAGTATAAAGCATATTTTTTTTGTAAATCTTTAGAGCACGTTAATTTTAATACTTAATTAAGTTCACAAACAAAGAATGTTTCGGTTTATTTTCATTTTCAAGAGACTGAAGGCATAAATTTAAGAAATGAGAAAGGAATGCTTTGAAAAAAGTGCCACGAGCAGATACTCATTATGTAACCATAATGACTGTTGATACACGAGAGATACTTAACCGACATCCACTTTAATGACGTTACTCATTCAAAAGCCCGAAATAAAAAATAAAAATCGCACAAAAAAGCACTTGAGTTGTTTTTTATAGCAGAATTATAGGCGCTGGAACGCTTAACGCTCCCATTCAACTTTATGCGCGTTTAAGCCTGGTAAAGTGTTTTCATTAGAACAACAAAAGACGATTCTGTTCCTTTTGGAACGCAATAAACAAGAGCAGATAACAAAAGGATTAACTTAATGGGAGGCGGTATTAAGAAACGCTTTATGCCTCATGATATGTGAGCTTAGGTATACTGTACTCATACGTTGTCATTACTGTCTCAAGTTGCATATGCTGACAACTGATATTTTGAATATGTTTTGTTTTATTTTTCGAGGTTGAAAGCGAAAGCGAAATAAACTACGTTGAATTGCGTGCAATGACAAAGCCGTATTCTTACTGCCTCTTCCACTTTCGTCATCATATAAGTTTAAAGAAATCCATGATGGTGAGTTGTGCCAGTAAAATTTTTTCTCGTATTATCCGTTTTTGTGATTTAGTGCCGAGTTGAATAGTATATGGAAGAGACATTGAAGCATTTAAATATAATTTTATTGAAACTTTAATTAAAATATAGAAAACTATAAACATTTGAATATTTCAAAATCTTATAACACCATTTTTTAACTTTTCTATATTTTTGTTATTAAGCAAAAGAACAAAGTTAAGTGATTGTATGTGTTAAAACCACATACATTTCAAAATTAATATTAACACAACAGATGATAAACTATACACACCCACGATACTACGGATGACAAATGCAAGTTAGCAGTATTCCATTTTTTTTTATTTCAGCAAATATTTTCCTTGCCTTAAACTTCCATGGTTGTTTTTCGATTGTGAATTTTTGTATCATTTACATAGTAGTATAAATCCCATGTAGTTCCGAATTCAACAAGTTTAATTATCTTACTTACGTACATAAGAAGTGGCAAAAGTATACCACAGGTATTGAAACTTTCAACACCAAAGATAGAAAATTAAAGATAGTAAAGAAGTGTAGAGCAGCAATCGACGAGTTAAATCGGTTAGTTGATATCACCCTCAACTGGGTTTCTAGATATAGCAACATCAAAGGGAACGAGAAAGCTGACTGTTGTCACTAGCGGTACCGGTTTATAATACCCTAGAGACCATTAAGATAAGTACCTTTCTATACTTTCTGAAACTTGCCAATAACAGATGGAAAGCACTTAAGTCATGTGCAACTTCCAGGATAACGCAATCCCCATAATCCGCAGGAAAAGAAACCATAATACACTTTCGCTGTGAATGGCCGGTCTTAGTGTCTAGAAGATATAGGTGACTATAGATTACGTTACTTCTTTCATAGTTTATCAGACTGTTCATTGGTGAAGACGAATTATCTAAATTCGGCGGGATGGATTTAGTCTATACTCTAAAAACAACTGAAAATCGCTAATTGAGGTACATGGAAGTTATCTAATCTATCTCATCATACTACAGATATGCATATATATATACATAAGTGATATCGGTATATATAAGGTATGTAATTAATTATTAGATATTTTCAAAATCAATAAATCGAAGTAAACTGTGCTCTAATAAAAAGCAATTGTAGTTTAACACTGAAAAAAAAAATAAATAGATTTTATAATATATTATATAGGTACATTATTTGCTAGACTTCTTCATTTAAAATTAATTTCAGTGAAATTCAATTTAGGAAGCGAATTAAGAAAACACAATGGAGGACACTACGTAAGATTATGTTAAAATAAATTTCATATAATAATATATAATAATAATAATATATAAAAACAATTTTAGGTTGGAAATAATTCTCTCTGACCGTATGCAGGTTTTTTTCGTTATAATCATCGTAATGTTCGTAATGACCATATATTACTACTATTTTTACGTGTTTACTCAACGATTAAGACTTTTGTTAATTGTGCCTAATGACTGGAGAGCAACTATAGAAACTGTGGTATTGGAACATTCAAGTAAATTAATTAAAAATACTTTAAAATCTTTCTCATTGTATTTGCAAATAATTTAGTGCGAGTGCGAGAAACGAGTGTCTGATAGTTGTGATTGAATGGATTGGATGGAACAAAATTGCAAATCAAAATGAGTTTAAACTTCATATAACTTTTAACTTATGTACTCCTATTCAAATTTGATTTAAAAATATACAAAATTAACCTATCAGTTAACTGATGTCTTAAGATTGTTTAATAACCTTGCCGGACAAGGTAAAGTAACTTTCGCTTAAATTACAAAATTTAAGCACGATTACTTAGTAACTGGTGTATTATAATCATAACTACATGAAATGAAAAATTTGAAATAAGTATATGAAAACATTGTTTAGTTTACATATTTATTATTCGAAATATATATCGATTTCGTTACTGCATCCTTAGTATGTTCGGATGAGTCTTTTGATTAGTTCAAAGCTAGAGATTATAGTGTCATGTTCTATCAATCAACCAAATTATCGAAACTCTACATTAGAACGCAGATGGTTTCTTAATTTTACTATCGTAGTCGAAAATCAGGCCGGTTCAAAAACTAGCAGTTGAATTTTTTTTGCTTTTAATATGACTTTTTATTCAATTTAACGACCTTTCGGATTTAAGCTCCGATTTAAGCTTTATGTCCTGCTTTTTCGTTTTATTTTTAGGTGCCAGGCTCTAAGAAGACTTTTTAGGGTGACATGGTACATTAGGATCCGATAAAAAAATATATAAAGGATAGTGCTCTGAAATTCCGTTTACGAAAACGGATAGGCTTACCAACACCGCATTATCGAATCTTAGAATGGTTACAGGCTTCTCGGGTAGGTATGCTGATCTGAGGTTAGTTATTGCTTAGTCTGATGAAGTGATAAACAATAATTCAGTCAAGGCGTAGATAGGGGTTATGAAGAAAACTCGCAGTTAGAAGAGAGTAAAAGTGCTCAAGTGCACTGACTCAACTTTTCATTAGAAAAACATCTGCAATTGATTCTGTGCTTCCATAGGATTGTATAGTTCAAATTGAAAAACTTGATTTTATTCTATTTTATTGATGACTATAAAAAAAGGACACTTTTGAACTCTTTCACTAATTATATTTTTAGCAAATTAGTCAAGCAGCTTGTTTGTAAGGCGATTGTCTACAACTGAGAATTATATTAAAAAACTGAATTTTTTAAATTGAATACACTTTCTTTACTTTAGTTTAAAGCATATAAAAGCTTTAAATATCTTTAGGAAAATCAACCCTAAGATTTTATAGAAAATAATAGAAAACAATAGCACACATTGTTTATCTTATTGTTGTTGATATTTCCTTTAACTTGCGTATTCCAAGCAAATCATGGTTTATTTAAAAAAGAGTTATTCCCCTCGAAGCATAAAAACGCAATTCTTCAACAACAAATCCCTTAGCCTTAATTTAAGATATGCAAACACATTTATTTGAAATACAAATACGCGTACGTGAATATAAAAGTACGTGACTCAAAAATATTTACCTGTATTCCCATATCACATAATAATACCAGTGTTTCCGTTACCATTCATAACCCTAAAGGGCTTATCCCTTAAAATTGTAATATAAATTCTTATAATTTTATATTAGTAAATGCACTTTAGTACGAGTAAATGTTTGAGCTGGGAGAACTTTAATAGACGATTCAATTGAAACTGTTCTTAAATATTCTTAACTTACCTAGAGTAAAGACATAGGCTGAAGTGAATATATACACATAGTGAACGGACTATGAGTGGTTTTAGTTTTCTCTTATAAAACTATTTAAATTATAAATTATTTAATTATAAATAAAATTAAATTAGTTCAGGCACTTGGAACTTGAAAAAAAAACGCTCTGTTTGATGATTGATGAGAAGTAGTTTTAGAGAAGCATACTTATAGGCACAGCTTAAGCAAAGGAGATTTAGCTCGAAGCTGAAGATTTGCTTTAGATGATTTTTTTATTCTATGTGGTTTTTCAATACTAATTTGCTTTATATTGTTTTTTAATTTTTTAGTACAGTAAGCAAGCACATATTTTATTTTCGTTGTTTTATCACAGTTAGGAAGCACTTTAGTTGTTACTGTTATAATCATATTCTCATATTCTTACTTTGATGTTTGAGTTCTTCTTATTTTTAAATTTAGGGTTTCGAAACGGAAGTTTAATCGTTTCGGTTTTCGTTTCAGTTTAATTAAGCATAACTCTATTGCTTCATGACCTAGTTTCGTTTTGACAAATATAACAAGTTTCTAGTTTGACATTAATATTTTTATGTATTTGTAATATAAACCACATTTTGTAATGATTAGGATAATTTCGAATTTGTTTTTAATTTAATTTAAATTTGGTGTCCAGACCTACAGTCACTAATGGAGCTCAACAGACCAGAGCTGTAAGATTGGCGCTCTGTGGCCATCATAGACCAATAATCATTTCTGTGGCCACAAGCCCATTTCTTTAGCATGTTGTCTACTGCTAAAACTTACATTAAAAATCTCAAGGAATCACACAGAACTTACATCCAGCTTCTAAGTTTGTCAATATCTTCATTACAGGTATACCATCCTCCTGTGCTCATGCAAATGGATCGTCCTTTGCTCTATGCATAAGTACAACGCTTCCTATAACACTGTCAACACCCCTAGGCATATTGATAAATATTGATAAGATATTGAATATATTGAATATATTGATAAGATATGATAAGATATAAGATATTGATAAGATATTATATTATATTAACTAACTCGCATTAAATAATTATACTTTCCTATAGTAGTAGTAGTAGTAGCTTTATTTTTACTTCATTTTATAAAAATAAAATAATATAGGAAAAAATTCACTTTCCTATATTATAACTATGTATACAATTTTGTCAGCATCTGTCAATACTTTTGCCTACAATATCAATAGAGATTTGAATAACTACTGAATGTCCGGTCATCTGTAGGTTTCCACTTAGATGTTTCGCATAGGATCCACACCATAGGCTCTTCAGAGTGTGGAATGTATGTTTACTTATGTATAAAGTCATATAATTTGTTGCTCAAGTCATAGTAAGATATATTCTTGTTTTATAAATAAAAACTATTTTTGGACTTCTAACTTTCATTTAATACAGTTTTAACAACTACAAAATAGTGCGGAATAAGTAGATATCGAAATGTACGTCACTGTATGTAAATACACCAATATATTATTTTGGTTCGGTTCCGATTTTCAATCTCGCAAAAATATTGGTCTGGAAGAAAAGACAGTAGAATCTTTTCTAATAAATGGGATTTTAGCTTCTCGCCTTGACTGCCTCATTATTGCAGTTTCTTTTAGGTAAAGATAATGTTAATACACTATAACGTAATGTGTCCTAAGTCTTGAGGTTTCTGCAAAGCGATGTGTATTATAGCTTTACAAAATTTCGACAAGCTGCCAATACCGTATATAATATTTTACTTTTTATATTCCTATTAATATTTGATTTCCTTGCTGACAGTTTGCCAGTATTCTTTTCATTATGGTTTTGAAACTAGTTATATTATAATACAAAGCATTCTCATAATTAGTGTAGACCTATGAGAGAGATTAAGATGTCGCTGTTGAGAATAACATATTTTCTTTCTATTGTATTCGCATGCGTGTTTTTCATAACAAATTATCATCAGATTCGAAAATGTCTTATTTTTCTTTGAAGCAAACAGATATAACTATACATATGATACTTCGGGAGAATAATTTTTGAGGTATGACATGCTATCAAATTAACTCTCCATACAAGCTTTAAGGAACTGACTTAAGCCTTTAACAGTAATCGACCTTATTAAAAAGAAATCTTACCCTATTATGATCTTTATATCATTGCCGATTAAAAATGACAACATACGAGATATTTAAGTTCGATATATATTACTTCCCCAATATTGGTCCCACTACTTCGATCATGGCGACCGTATTCTTCACATCATTCCCTTTTATAACCGCAGCTTTATGTGACCCTAGTCGCAAAGTTTATCGCTTGTCTCACCCGCACATATATGCTCTTTAACCCCTTCTACATTCATTCCTGAAAGGTGGTTTTAGTGAATTCAAGTCTCACAAAGGGAAGAAAAAACAAAACCTCTTAAAAGTTTGTGTAAAATATTAGGCTTTTTATTTTAACTTAAATTTAGTTTTCTTATTGATCTATTTTGTTTTCTAAATTATTTGTTATTTTCTTCATTTATTTTATAAATATGTATTTTAATTTTTTATCAAACAAGAACACAGAATTACAAAGGCCTTAAGTGAATAACAAAATGTGTATATAAATTGTCAAATAATACAATGTATAAAGCATTCATTCTGGGGTATCCTTATAGATACTAATTCATAATTCATACAGTAGAGTGATTTAAATTTAAATAAAATGGTTGTGTTTAGTCTAGTTTTCGATATAAAAGTACATAGAACAAATATTTGATACAAACATTTGTTTGGAGAAGACATGAGCGCTAGATACTTTTTCAATAAAATATAAATTAACATTAAAAGATACATTTGTCCAATGAAATGAAGTACTTGTAGTCTTAATCACAATCAGAAGTATATAAAAATAAAGTTAAAAATAAAATTGAAGATTTTGTGCTGCTCGCTGATGGGTTCTGATGTGTGAGGCTGCTGTGCGAGGACGCTGAGTTGGAATTGTCATCTATGAGGAAACCGGAAATGTAAGTGATCATAGGAATGATGTGATAAAGTTGTTAACAAATGAATAAGTCTTTCAGTAAATCTTAAGAGTGGGTGTGGTTAACACAAATTGACGAAATTCGAATTAAGCCTAAACTTATGAGCGCGCCTTAAAAAGCTAATAAAATATTTTATGTATACTAATCACTAAAAGTTAAATGGCAATGATTGTTTTTACAACGAACCTAATACGAATATCAGATGGCAATACAGGATGCTATACTGTGACACACATGTATAGCTTAACTAATCTCTAAATTAAATTTTACTCTTTATAAAAAATAAAAATTGAAAAAACTTCATCTTAAAATTTCACAAAAATATTTTTAGGAGTGAATGCCATGCCTATGTAAAGACCACAAGGCAGTTATTTGCAGTTAAAGCGTAAAAAATGATTAAAAGAATTTGCTAAAAAGCTAATATTTTGAATAATTCGTTGAAATTGTTTTGAAATAGTTTTGAAAAAATTTTCAATCGAAATTCGTCAATTTTAGCCGCGCCACGTCAAAAGACTCCAACCCTTTTTGGCTGGTTTCGGCGTATTGGATTCTGTTTGCTCTTGAATGACATATGTTTCAGACTCTTGTTGGTTGTTTGCTGATGTTGGGAATGGGAATGGCTGGTTGTTCTGTTTTATAAATGTCCGTAGTATTGTATGTTTGAGTACAGATTTCTGAAATTCTTCGGCTGTTGGCTTATACGCTTCAAGTTTGTTTTTGTATTTGTATTGATTGGCTTCAGTTGCGTACGACGCACCGGAATTGTAGGCCTGGGAACCAGTATCGGGATCTCCTGACGATATACCGTCTGATAGCGATGTTGAGGGATCGTCAAACGCCGGCGCCTGTTGAGTGTATGAGGAGGAGGCAGGTTGAGGATAATGCGTTGAATAGGCAGTTTGTTTGTTGTTATAAGCGTTATTTTGATTAAATTCATACGTTTCAATGGTGTTTGTAGTGAGTCCATTCGATGCTGCATTTGGTGCTGCACACAGTCCTTGATAACGTGATGATGGTCTCATACCGTATGATGCACATGATGGTTTTCCTACTTCATATGGATTATACCCGACGACATTTCCACTGAAATTTATATTAGTATAAGATTATAGAAAATTATTTATAAAAAATATTAAAGATGTAGTTAAAATAGAAACTAAGTATCTTTGAAGTACAAATGTATATATATAAACTAATACAATATAAATTAATTGGACTAGATATGCCCGTCTAACTTATTAGCGTTAACTTAACCTAAAAATCTTTTAGGTAAGATTTTAGGGAATCGCATCTTGCATATAAGATTTCCAGCAACGGACCCTAAACATTTGGAGGCATTAATAATATCGAAATAACATAGCTAGCAAATAAAATCTACAATGTCCAAATTGTATATTACATGAAGAAGTCTTGAGTACGAACTTAGTTCTACATGAACATTGTGTGAATATATTCAGGTCAGTTAGCCAATAAACACTGACTCTGAGCTTTAAATTTAGCAGGGCATGAATTCAACCCTTGGGTCTTATAGTCTCAAAAAATTATTTGCGAGAAAATTGTTTTTGAGAAATAATGCTAAGACCACTGATGATGGGTATTTAGCAATACTCGAAATAGTTGTATGGTCAGCCAAAAACTTGATTTATTAAAATAATGTAAATGAATTTGTGTTGTAGTTCACTACTATTCGAAACCTCTCCAAATGTATTACATAAATATATATGTGTGCTCAACATATACCTAATGAGATTCCTTTAAACTATCTTACATTTAAATAAAGCTGATTATAAAATAATATTTCAGATACTTATTTTAAAAAAAACTTCTCCATATATTAATACATTTTAACTAAAATTAGATGTTAAGTATGAATATTTATATTATTAATGCTCATTAATCATATAAGCTAAGGGTTCCAATTTAAGTTCATATATGAGAAACTTCTGTAAATAACTATAAATACTTTTTAAAATTAAAATTAAAAACAAAAGTATTCATAGTTATAGATATATAAGACTGAAGTGTTATTATTCCAATAACTTTCTATTAATATACAAAAACAAATATACTATATGTTTTTATTTAAAAATGAATACATTTTAAACAATGTGTTATTTAGTTCTTAATATTATTAATTACTTTCGTTTATATAAACTTACCCTGGTCCATAATTACACACATACAATTTGTTGTACTTCACTGAATCTTTATATTCAGCAAAGCCGCATCCTACTAAACTGGTTTCTCCCCAGACAAGCTATAAAAAAAGGAATAAAAACAGTTAATATGGAGTTTCAAGTGTATATATGATTTTCATAAATACTAACCTGAGAATAATGACCAGTTTTAGGAGACCAAGCATCGCCAAATGAGTATTTTTGAACCTCATTGAACCAGCTTTGGATGCGAGATGGAAAGTCGCCATCATCGGGTGCTAGAGGGGCAGTGCTCCATATTATAGCTAAGTTCTGACCCATTGTAAAGCGATCTATAAATTGATGCGAGCGAATAAAAAAATAGTTGAAAGAGGAAAATTGAACATTAATCACAGTTTATGTCATTATCATATATAAAAACAAAAAGAAGCGGAGATATATCAGCCAATACATACGTGCAATATACTTTCTAAATAGAGTACTTTTTTCAAGCTCTCTTACATAAATTCTTAATGCATGAAGGTTAACCACTGTTATTCTATTGTACCATTTCAAGTACTAGTAGTGTGCTGGTACCTTTAAAGCGTTTTCTGTGCCGTTTCCGTTCTTTCGGATTTTTTAGCCTACTCACTTTTGTTTAATTTTTTGTAGGATGGCATGCTGTTAATACTAAAAATGTAAAAACCTTATACCACAGTTCACATTTGGAAATTGTCCTATCATTCCAAATATTATACATACAACTTTATGAAATATTATATATAATTAATTAATAATAAGATCAAAATATTATTGAGGATGTGATTTTATGATCCAGTTTAGAAGACATAATTTTATATTTTTTGTTACTTTAGCCCACAAAGTGTTCATTTCGAATGTGGGTCCCTTTCCATTATTGTGTATACATTAAGCAGCTCTGTACTTTTCTATCCTTCAATTATATTAGATTAAAATTACTTACTTATCGTCCGAAGAGGATCATGTCGAAACTGACAATTTTCTGCCCACTTCTGAGCACGAGCAGCTAATTCATCATCCCAAACGATTTCTCGCATATTTTCAGCTGCAGGTTGACCAGGATAACGACCCGTCGCCACGAGCTGCCTAAGTCTATTGTGTTCTTGTAGAATTACACGCTTTTCTTCTTCTGTGATGCCCGTTACTACAAATACAATATATAAAAATGGGTTAAGTTTCGTTTATACATTTTCGTGATTTAATTCCGTTCATTAAATTTACATAAAGAATTTAAATTCATTAAAAAAAGTATCTTAAATATTTAAAAAAAAAAAAATTAATTAAATTTATACAAATTATTTGATGCGATATAAAGCATTTATTAAGTCATTTCTATTTTTATTAGTATTTTAAAACAAACGAAATATAAAAATTTGTATAAATTGTCTTTCTCTTTTGTCCTCTCATCTCGGATATTTGAATATTGGACTCCGTTGTTTCATTTCTTTTTCTATAATTCGAAATTAATCGTTTCTTCTGCAAATCTCGACGCTTAACATTTTTATAAGATGCGCATATAACTCTTACATATGTGCAAATATGAATATATAAATATATAAATATTGATTAAAACATATAAAAATATATATTTTTATTTCATTCAATGTTTTATAACAAAACCAGCTTTTGTATCTTAAGGGTTTGCTTTTTACTGCTGCTGTAGGAGACAACGCTTCAAATATACTTTTCGCATTGTTCGGTCGGCTTTCGTATCTCCGTTCAAATTCATTCACTTAACCCAATCGGATTTGTGAATAAAATTGATAAAAACTTTTCGAAGAGATTCGATTTCGAATTTGTGTAACTGTCGGTTTGGTTTTTTACCGGCGGTTATTTACATATTTACGAATTACAAGTTTTGTTGGAGTGTTTTTTTGGATTTAATAGCTCTTCTGCTGCCACGTTCTCAAATCTGTATGCTTTGCGATTATTTGGAGTGTGAGGGGCTCAATATGTGGCGGCGTAAATAAATTATGTAAAATAACAGAGTCTTGATACTTTGATGCCAAAATTTGTATAATTTTCTCTACACGTGCTAAAAAAATGTCTTTAGAAGCAATCAAATTTGGTTTTATCAAAAAGATTTTAATCCGAAATTAGCTGCTACAAGCAAGTAAAAAAAGGTTCACAATCTCTGGCTTATAGGTAAATGTGCTTTAAAAATGTAATGGCTTCATTTTACATCTCAATATGGAGGAGTTTTTAATAAAGTGCGTAAATATAAACTATTTTATATGAAACTATTTAAAATCGAATTTATGTATTATGCTCTAACAGCATTATATGTAGACCATGCACTCAGTTCATACTTTATTTATAGTCAGAAGTTGGTAGATAGTAATTTTTCATATCTTGAGCAAAAATAATGGAACAATTCGTATAAACAGTTAGAAGTCATTAATTTACCATGAACTGAAGTTAAGTTAGACAATATGCTTTTATAGAAATTTACTTTAACATATGGTTATGGGAACGATATATCGGCCCTCATCACTTTTAGTTTAAGAACCAACCAGCGCATTTGATAAAGATGATTTTTTTTTAAGATCTGTATATTAAATCTGATATTTACATAAATATGTGCATATGTGGACAATATATTAGCCCTCATCACTCTAAGTTTAAAAACCAATCAGTACGGTGGACAAAGATGATTATTTTTGAAAGATCAATAATTTGAGTATATTCCACGCGTAATAGTTTGTAGCTCACCGCTAATAGAAGTGTAAAAATTGACAGATTGTAATTAAAATGAAAAATATAATTCACAAGGTAGCTGCCAATCTGAGTTTTGAGTCAAAGATCTAAAGAAGAACAATCAATACTGGCTATATCGATGCTGAACAATAGATACAACCCTCAACAAGATATGCTATGGAGTATATATACCATACTCCATGAGAAGTCAATGTTGTCGTAAGCTATTTACGTTCTAAAAAGAGATACCAAATAAAAATTATATACAACTATTAACTATTTATACTACATTCTAATCATAAATATGAGTATATATTTATTTCTCTCTAAGTAATTTTTAATTCTAATAATGGAAAGAAACTTAAATTTTTCTTATTTTATTTATATATATATAATAATATTACATAATGTTATATAATATAATAATATTATGTGATGTTAAATAATGTAATAATATATATTATATATATATAGGTATATTTTATATTATATGTATATATTTTATACATAATATAAATTTATTTATAGTTATTTAATAAAAAACGGGAATAAAATATGTTTTTTTCTTAATCTATTTGAAAAATTCGCGTGTCTTTATACTGTGGTATTCCCATAAACCCACTTCTTCAGATCTTATGAAGTGGGTCTTATTATCTTATTATTTGTAAAACGAGCCTCCGCTTACCTATATCTATTATCTATAATTTAGCTGTTAATATTCACAAATATTGAAATTTATTTTTAGTGAAAACAATATCAATATCAAGAGTATTAAAATTAAATTTGTTTATATTAAATTTAAAACAATTATTTGAAATATGAAAGTCAGATTTTTGAGAAGTAACCAGTGAATTGAATTTATAGTCTATTGTAGTAAATATGGGTTTAGCTTTTTTAAAAAAAATATAATACTACAAAGCCTTTATTCTGTTGGCAATCTTGTATTCCTTGAAGCCATTATATCTTCGGCTATATCGGATGATTTTACTAAGTCCCAAAATATAGTAAAGTCAAGCTGCTAATAGATATCAAATCTCAATTCATCTATAAATTAACGCTAATATGATGAGTATATATAATAATTTTATTAAATAAAAAATTGAAATATATCGCTTTAAGCTAATATCTATATTAATTGTTTAAAAATATAATTTTGCTAAATGCAAATCCTTGTGAGATTTTATTAATAAAATAAATGTGATGTAGTGCATAAAATCTTTTAAGATGATTCTGTATCTCACAACATCGATTAAATATTTAATATATTTTTGAAAATTTCATTTTGAGGCTGAACTTGACAAGTTTTTGTAATGAATTCAATAAAGTCCAGCTCAAATCATTCCTATTTTTAAATAAAATAATTTCAACGGTAGCTAAACATATTTTATATTTATTTCTGAATTTATTCATTTTTTATGTCGATTTGGCACCGCGTTTAAGTTTCATGTTAACCTTGAAAAAATGTTGATAAAGTTTCCGAACTTTTATTGATATTGAATTCAAGACCCATTTGAGAGATTTTTAAATACATTGCGAATTATTGAGAAAAATTTACTCAATTTTCTAATTGATTTATAAATTGAAATATAAATTAAATTAAAAAACAATATCTTTGAAAATAAATATCTTTGTTTTTATGTGAGTATAAGACTAAAATAACTAATGAAAATAAATTTATATCTATTCAAAATATATCGTACATATATACATATTAATGAAAATAAAAAAAATGGGAAATACTTTCTGAGGACAACTTTTTATTCTTTAAAACTAAAATCTACTCAATTCACAGAGAATACCATACATCCTTGAATGGGTTAATTCAAAATTGCATTCTGAGTGAATTTGAGGATTATTTTGTCAATTTATTTGCAGTAAAAGTATCTTTAAAATTTTAATTTTTTTTTGTATATATTTTTTTTGTGCGCTAAATATTGCTTTAATTTTTATAAATGACGATGATCAAAAGCGGCGCAAATTGGAATGAAATTTAAATGTTCTCACGTTGGTGGAAACTGCCCGTTCTGATGTTTCTTAAACACTTTACCGCCACCATAATTAGTTTAGGTTGCGGTGGTTCTGACTGTTGTGGCATTTAAACAAGTTTGCGTTCCATTGTCATGTTGACTTAGTGATTTACGCATGCATACTTACGAGAAATGATTTAAGAATCTTTTGCTTACAGTAATAACTCGTTAAATAGAATTTTCAAGTACTCATCCGAACTTTTTAATAGTTTGGTTACAACTCATCTGATCAAAATCTTTTTTCAACATTCTATTACCCATCAACATATGTAGATGGCGCTATACTGATAAAATGGGTATTAATACAGAAGTACTATAAAACCCAAAATGAAAATTATCACCATCATTCTAAAGGTATTAGTTCGGACCTATGGACCATACAATATCAAAGTCAACTTAATTGTAGCAATCATTATTTTCGATTCGTCCTAAAAAGCTAATTCGTTTCCAAGTCTGCTCTAGGTTTCGTATTAGTTATAAAGTATACTATATTAGTTTATAGCTAAATCAGTGAATAGTGAAAATGTAATGTCTACTCATTTCATTGATATTTGAAAACTCTTGATAAGCTGATTTAATATACTTGTTTTTAATGGTACAAAAATCATAGATAATATTCTGAACTTAGAAACTAGATAAACATAATAAACATAATGAAAAGTCAGACCAAGTATATAAAAAAATGTATATAAACTTTAAATTAGAATAAAATTTGAATATCAGTTAAATAAAAATTATTGTGAAATCGTTTTTTCTTAACTTTTATTTTTGATAATTATAAAAAATTGACCCATTAACCTATATTTAAAATCGTTTGGTCATTTGGAACCGTTCGATGTTAATAAATAATTTGTATTGGAATTTTAATATATCATTAGCTAATTCTGAAGATATAAAACATTAATGTATTTTCTCTCATAAGATACAACATCAAGTTTCATATCAATATAACAATCAATCATTTATAGTTAAGTATAAGTGTGAATCTGCAAGATATTCCATTTAAACCGCTTATGGGTATTTGCGTTTCTTGGGACAAATACCCACTATTCGAGTTTTATGCTGAAATAGTGATTTGGTGATTAATACAATAAAGATTGCTATTATATATTTATTTCAATAGTTCAAATTTATTTTGGTTAAGAGTTTCATTAGGGTTTTAACAACACTTTCTTACAGGTGTCCGATAATTTCAAGACCCCATAATATAAAAATAATAATTCCAATGTAGGCTTGTGCTCATATTAAATGCAGACGTATTAAGCTAATAAATATATCTTAAATATATCTATTGTAAAGTTATTTATTATTAATTATATTATATGATATTCAAAACTCAAATAAGTTTTATCAGATTTTTTTTGGTTTATTTAGAGTTTACTGTATCAAAAAAGCACTTTTCAGTTCCTATGCGAAGTTT